GAAGCACGCTAAAAGCAGCTGCCAAGAATTGTCGCGACTTTTCATGATGGGGCGCTGTGGGCGTGGCCATTTGCCCAGCAAATAGACGTTGTGGTTGCATTTTGCATTTCCAATTGGAGCTCCAATTGGAGATCTAGCTATATACATATATATATATATATATATATTCCAGCTGTACGCTTTCGCTTTCATTTCAATTGTAAATATGCAACGCACTCGCTTAAACTAATGCCAGCGAGTGTGTAAGCACAGTGAGAGCGCGCTAAAGTGAACAGCTGCATAAGTGAAACAAGACATTGAGGTATATAAAAAATTTAAAAATTTAAAACATATAAATATAAAAAAATGTACACTCAATAAAAGTTTTTAATATTGTTTTTAAATTATGCCCAAAAATTGTATTTAAAAAAAAATAAATTTAATAAAAATTGTTAAGAATTAAATGAGTAAATAAATATATATATTTATATTATATTATATTTCTATTAGAAAATAGAAACTTAAATATTAATTAAAGATTTCACATAGATATAAATTCTTAAAGCAGGATTTAAATTGCTTTGAAGGCTTTGCACTTGCTTTTGTTCGTAATATATTTATATATATTTATTCACCAAACTCAACCAAGTTAAACTCAACAAAAAAGGCAAAGTTTGGCAATCTGACATTAAGCTGTGCCTTAATAAAGTATTCACTGTATTGTTGTAGCTGCTGCGTTTGTTTATGCTTTTTATTTGCTAACGGCTAAGCACAGTATCTCTATCTGCTTCTCTGTGTGTGTGAGGGGCATGACGTTGTCGTTGTTGTTCTTGTTGCTTGGTCTGCTCTGCTGTTTGTCTTTGCGGTTGTAAATGCATTTTTCAAACAAATTGCAAATCATTGCCTAACAATAGTTCCTGCTAGCTGGCGTCCACCAGTGCAGAGGCACTGATTCGTGCCCCACTCTGGCCACGTCCGGAGTGTGGCTTTTGAATCTGGAACCGCATTGACAGTGATTTAGTTTTTGGCTTGCAGCACATTTCACATACGCAGTCTATTAGAGGCGAAAGCTTAATGTGGAATTTCAGTGTAATTTGTCAATTGAGATGGGGGAGGAGCAACTATCGCACATTAAGTTACATTTAGGTTCTTTTTCCCTTTTTTGTATTCCTATTGCTTGACTTCTCAAATTAAATTGACTCAAAGTTAATTTTGTGTAAAGAACTTTCAACGCGAATGGCCGACAGCTATTTTCCAAGAATTCTGCTTGTTGATTTTGATATAACAGTAAACTAGCGTGCTATAAAGTTCATCTTTTTCGCATTATTTGCTCATCCATTGACCCACAAAAATGCGTCAGAAAGTAGGCTGCAGCAAAATGATATTTAACTTGCACTTACTTGCGCTATTCTCTTTTTATATATATATAAATATTTTATATTTTATATATAGAGTATTGTGTTTATTTGCACTTGCACTTGTGTTTGGCACACAGAGACACACATAGACACACGCACACAGGCTTTAAAGTTGAACAAACTTGTTGCACAGTGTTGCTAACGACTTGAGTCGCACGCTCTTTAGAGTATGCAACACTTTGTTTCTGGTTTTCGCCTTGATAAACGAGCAGTCCCGTTATTTGTGAACGCACACTTAACGAGCAGCACACGCAGCACACGGCAACACTGGGTGGCTAAAAAATGTGGAGCAACACGTTGTTGACACAAAGACCGCCTAACGAAGACTAATGATAGCGCTTCTCATTCGTCTCAGTCGTTTCGCCAAGACTCCAAATTGGAATTTGCTACTGCTGTTCGCCTACGTTGCGTGCACGACGAGGGTTAAATACGAACTGATTGTCTGCCAGTGTCCAAGTATCTGTTAGCTGTTCGTGCCGTCGAGCCGACGGCAGACGAACGCACGAAGCTGTCGCAGGCAGCAACAGTGAAGTTAAGAGCACGACTGCGGGCAGCGGGCGAAGAGAGCGAATGAGATGCCACCCCCGCTGCACAATTGAGCTATATAAACGTTTCATTTCACGCTGTAGCATCTAGTCGCCTGCTCTTACACTTAAGTTGTTTCAGTTCCAGTATTTCCCGCTGTGCGGAGTTTCGATTTCCTGTTCCGTCCGTGCGCCGGCGCTCAGCATGTTCAATTGCTCTTAGCGCTGCGCTCTTGCGTTCAATTGTTGAACGTTGCTTTCAATCAAAATCTGCAACTGCTGCACCGGCTTGCAGCATTGAACGCGTAAAGTCGTGAGAGTATTTTCGTTTCGTTTCATTTCATTGCCATTTTGTTTCCGTTTGATGGCTTGCTTTAAAGCAATCGCTGAAACTTTTTATGCCAGCCTATTGTTGTTGCGTGTTCGCATTGTTGTTGTTTGTTTCGCGCGCAACAGGTTCAGTTCCATTGTTCCCCCCGCAACACCAACACCGTTTCGTTGCCTTTGACGCACATTCGTCTATGGCTTTTCATTGGCCTTTCTCATAGGACTTTGGGTGGCCACCGCGCGCCCACTCTGTTATATTTATATTTATTTGCAGTTTTTTGCTTGTTTATTTTTGTTTTTTTTTTTCTGCTTCTTGTATTTTCTTTTATGCAAATACGAGCACAAAATCGTTTTCTGCACGCTTTGACGTTGACTTGAGAGTGTGTGTGTGTGTGACTGTCTCTGAGTGTATGTGTGCGAATTTGCATATAATTGTTTGCATGTTGAGTGCCTTTTAATTGATTTTATTGGCTTGCTACAATAACAACAACAACAACAGCAACAATGCCAACAAAATGCTCCACAATTTCTCATTTTATCGCGTGAGCTATCTCTGTTGGCCAAGCTTGTTTTATTTACTTGCTGGCAACCCAAATTTGATATAAATTTACAATTTGTACTCACATACATGTGTATATAGCATATATATCGAATTTAAGTATATGTATAAATTATGCAGCTTATGAACTGCATGTTTAATGTAGGTCGTAAATCGTTTGCAGCTCACAAAATATATAATGCATAAGTGAAAATCGATATAGCGGCTTAATGTGCTAAAAATCTGGCGTTCGAATGTTGAGCAGCGCATTAAGGGATTATGGTCAAGTGCATAGAGCGTGACTGAAGGCAAATTTCAAGACTAATTGCGGGATTATTATTATGTATTGAGAGGCAATACACTCAAAACTTATTGGATTTGTGCAGCTGAGAGTGGAGGGAGCCCAGCTAGAAGGACTAAGAAAAGCTGATCAATTTCTACTGGTTTTAATTGTTTTGAATTATTTTAATTATTTAATTATTAAATATTTTATTTATCTATAAAATATCACTAACATTTCGAATTATTAACGGAATTTAGCTTAAAGCGGTCTGCCCACTGAGCAGTTGAAAAATGCGATTCTGGAAAATCTAATCAGCGAAAATGCGAGAAGATTTTTCGGCGAACTGCGTGAAACTAATTTAAAACAGCCGCCAACTGTAATTAGGCGCTAATGAGTTATGCCCCAAAAGCGGGCCACAGCGAGCGTAGCCAAGGCAACGACCACAGGACAACAGCAACGCAGCAACCACACAATTCTCTATTTCTCACTCTCAGCCTCCCTCTCTCTCTCTATTCAGGCAGTCGAAACTAGTTGAGAAAATAAAAAAAAAAAGAATTAAACCTCCAACTTCGTTTTGGACTCGCAGCTGCAGTTGCTGCTAATCAAAAAGTGCGATTTGTTTGAATGAAAGCAGTTTGCCTGCCTGCCTGTCTGTTGGCGACAGCCTCTCTCAGTGGGCGTGCCACTCGGTGTCAATGTACCGCTGCAAGCGTATCAACTGCCGTTGCGAAAGGTGATAATAATCAGACAGGCCGTTTTAACAAGCGAAACGCCCCACAGCCCAGGCACACGCCTTTCCACGCTCGCTGGGCGGTCAGCGGCGTAATCCATCTTTTGCCTTGACAATGGTTGCTCCATGCCGATTTCTGTTTTCGGGCCAGAGAAGGGGGCGTGGCAGCTAAGCTCAACAAAAAAAAAGAAACAAATGAAACTAGATACAAATATCTTTGGCACTGAATGGGAAATGTAGATGTGTGTGTGTGTGTGTATGTATGTGTGTGCATGTGTGTATGTGTGTGCGTGTGTGTGTGTGTGCGTATGTGTTTGGCCTTTAGTGTAATTATGGTGGCATCCACAGGACATGTCGTTGACAAGCTCAAGTTGGGCCAGTGTCTCACTCATCTCTTTCTCTTACAGACAACACAACTTGCCCCCCACACACACACACACACACACACATACAAACACGTACGTATTAGTAAACCACCATAAAACACACGCAGTGCCACAACAGAGATTCGACCAGTGGGTGGGCCATAAAAGCGGATCCGCATGTGTCCAAGTTCGTAAAGTTGATTCATTCATGGCAGAGAAATTTATATGGTCATGACGCGTGCATCTAGTGGCAGCCAGGCCGGGAGAGGCGCGGCCAGCCAGACAGTTAGCTGGCTCAGCTAAGGCGCCATCTAAACGCAAACTATAAAACAAAGTTGCAGTAGCAGAGTGATCGACTGCAGTTACCCTGTACACGGCTCAGCAAGAAAGCATTTCTGAAGGAAGTTCTCAGACCTCTATAAATCGAGTTTGCTTAGCTCGCTCTAGTTGAGCATAAAGTTACTTGAGCTCTTCTCATGTGTGTTACCAAGGCACTCTCAAAGTCGAATATGACCCATTTGCAATGTGCTGAGAGCATAGAAACAACTAAAACTAACTACAGCGGCCTTCTGCTGCCGCTGCTGCTGCAGACTCCGAGGCGAATGTTGATGCTGATGCTGATGCTGATGCTGATGCTGATGATGACAATGACAATGACGATGGAGCTAATCCATCCGCATGCTGAGCACCGCAGGACGTCAGCGAAAACGCTTTTCAAGTCGAATGATTTATCTCACGGAGCAGGAGCAGGAGCAGGAGCAGGAGCTGGCAGCGCAGCTTTGATGCTGCATCTTGGCTTATTTGATTTTGGGGCCCGGCAATTAGACGCAAGTGAAATGCCAATTGACTTCTGGATACACTGAGCAAAATGTGCAACAATTTATTGCTGTTATCATTAGATACCTGGGCTTACTATTTTTTCATCAGTGCTTTCTTTCGACGCTTGGCAATCCGGGCCAGCTGCTGCTCCGTTGGCCTGTAGTCGCTGTAGCGCGTCACCCACGCATCGGCCATCTTGAAGAACTTCTGCGGATCGTTTACAAACTGATTGCTTATCTCTACAATGTACGCATTTTCCGGCTGGGGATCGTTGATGGTCGCAACGAGCACCTGGAGAACAGTGTCGATTCGGGACGTGGGCTTCCAGTGCTCCGGCTCGAGTATGGGCAAGCAAATCTGACCCTTTTCATTGATATTCGGATGGTAGATCTTTGTGTTGATGTGCAAGGTGGGTGGCCGGAATGGATATTCCTTGGGGAAGTCGATCTCTAGGCTAAAGGCGCCCTTGTCGTAGGGCGGACTGTTGGGCAAAATCAGTGCATCCCACTTGTAGATGTTGTCCTTGGCAGCCTGCAGCAGTTGCAGCTGATCGAAATTCTTATATCCCATCATCATCATCAGCTCGTTCTGCATGCGCTTCGGCCCATCCATGATGGGCTCCTCCTTCTTCATGGTGGCTGCTGTTGGCTATGTCCGCTTTGCCCAATTTCAATTAGCTATTATACAATTTTGTCTGGAGTATTTCTCGCTGTGTACTGAGGTGTCTGAATCCAATCAAAAGGCAAACCGAGTCAACTCTAACTAACATATGCCTACTACGATATGTCTGTATAAGCATAGTTAGCATTTTCCAGGCCCAATATTTATCGATTTTTATGAAGTTATCGATAGAAATTAGTTTTTTCTAGCTTTAAGTCTTTAGCTTTAAGTCTTTAGTTGGCTTCTTTAAGCTTTGAGCTTTCGATAAATGAACTCGATATTTATCGATTTTCTCAATTTTTGTGCTTTTTGCTTTAAAGAGTCTTTTAAATAGCAGAGCTCGCATAGACAAGGCAAAGGAACTGCACTCAGCTCCCGATAATTTAACTCAATGGCATCTTCGACCTCTTCTGCTTCCGCCTCATTCGCATTCATTTGCACAACTGCAATATACCCTTTTGCTAACCATTTTCAAGGCAGAAGCAAAAGAGGAGAGAGTGGGAGAGAGAAAGGAAAAAATGGAATACAGAAATCCTTTCACATTGACATTAATCCCCGAAATAGCCGCTTAAAAAGACCGCCTGACGTCGACAGGCTCTGACAGCAGCACATTAGGATCAACTGGGAAAAAGCAATGGCACATTGAAATGGATGAAAGGTTCTCTAACGGCTCATATATGCCGCGACTCCAGCTGCTACAGCCTTTCGCATGCTCCTCCTTTGCTTAGCTCTGTTACCAAAGCAATTTTTATGTAAGGCGCTCGCTCTCTGCCTCTCCCTCTCTCCCTCTCTCCCTCTCCCTCTCTCTCTCTGTGTTTTAGTATTTTCAATCTGTGCATTGAATTATGCACATAGGGTCCGGTCCGACAGTGGAAAGTGCGGACATTCGAGATTTCTGGCAGTGATTTCATGAGCCAGCTATTGCCAGGACTGTGACTGTGTCCATGTGATGTGATTGCCATTGACATTATAGTTTTCAATTAGGTGAACATGCGAGAACGGACAGAGGACACTTTCTCTGCGCAATTTCTATCGTATTCCGGATTCATAAATATGTAAAGATTCCCGAAAAAGCATAATAAAACCCACTCAAAAGGAAAGCAAAGCTTTGACACAGAATCTCAGCTACATATCCCTCTCTCTCTCGCTCTCTATCTCGGTCTCTTGCCTCCGGCAATCTCGCCTTACACCACATTGCTTTGCACTGCCTCGCTCCGATGGGAAGCTTGATAACAAAAACATGAAAATTAAATATCAAAAATATGCGACGCAAACGAAGCTACAACAACAACAACAACAACAACACCAGGTTGTTGCTTTGTGCGTGTGTGTAATTATTTATGTTATATGTCATCATCATGTAAATGAAACCAAGGCGAGCGAAGAGAGCAGACACAGAAAATGATAGAGCGAGAGAGCGCGAGAGCGAGTGCGAGGTGAGTTGATGAAGGCCATGGAAAGTTGGACGGAAACGCAGCATGACGTGCGTAACGGGACGTCTCTGCTATAATTAGGAGATGTATACATGTGAGTAAGTGTGTGTGTGTGAGTGTGTGTGAGTGTGTGTCTGAGTGTGTGTATTTGAAAATAAGAAAAAACTCTTGTAGCAGAAGCTTGAATGCTCTTGCTCTGCTTTGAGTCTGTACTTTAGTTAGTCATGAAACTATTATTACTATATATTTTTTATGATGTATAATGATGTATAAATGTAGACTATAGTGCTCAGAGCTACCCACTTTATCATAGATAGTTTTGTAATAATAGAGCAAGAGATCAGCTATCAAATAGCCTTGTATATTCATGCAGCCCAACGCAGCTTTGCTTAGTTAGTTGGTCTTAAATATGATTCGCTCTTTAAGTTTCTCTCTAGCGCCGATTCAAAAAAATCGATTAATCAGTATTATCGATAACATGTCAGTGCCCAACTGCCTAACCTCAGAAACAGCGCAAGATAAATGCGCGGCACGCAAAAAAAAAGAAAGTAAGGAAAATATGTCTGCGAAGGCGTCTGACAGCGCTGCGGGATGCAAAGGCGTTTGCTGGCCAATCACTGTGACTGTGACGGTGACGGTGACGGTGACTGTGAGCGTGACAGTGACTCTGTTGTTGTTGTTGTTGTCAGTAATACTTTTGCTATGGTTGGCATCAACGTATCCGCCATACTTTTAGCATAAATAGCCGGAAGCGGAAATGTAGATGACGCTGTGCGCCCACTCATAGATACATGCGTGCTTACACTGCGCGAAAAATTATGCTGAATGTGAAATATGTTTGGCTAAGAAGAATGAAACATGAGGCGAAGGCTAATATTTAAAAATAGCTGAAAATTTTCTCATTTTATTTCTATTTTTTTTTTTTTCTTAACAATTTTTTTCTTTGAGTGTAAATTTCTGTGGGTATATGTTTGGAGCGCCTGCAGCTTCAGCTGCGCCTGCTGTCAGAGCCATTCCCAATCTCAATTCGCAGCCCAATTCCTTTTTGCCACCCGGCGCTACCTTACCCTCCAGCCGTACGCCTCTTCCGTTGGCGTTTCTGTCATTTGTTTAGCTGTCATTGCGGGCGTATTGCCGCTGACAGCTCGTTGGGAGCTGGCAGGCTGATGCTGGCGCTGACACTGGCGATTGGGATTGCGATTGTGATGCCGATTCCAATCCACGCATTGGCGCCAAGGCGGCCGCACCCTCCCGCCACTTTTGTGCGCCAAATGAAAAATCAGGCAAAAATTAGCAGTCGCCGCATTAAATCTAATCTGATCCGATTTTCTATTACCAATTGGCAGCTGAGTGCGATGTGTGTGCTAGTTTCTTGTCTGCTTATGCTTGTCAGTGCGGCTGTGTGTGTGTGTGTGTGTGTGAATTATCGCTGCTTTGATTCGGCTCCAACAAACGCCAAACTCCTCCCCCGCAGGTCTGCATGTGTGCACTTTAATCTTTTTATCGCACTCCGACACTTCAGCAGCTCAGTTTTTGGGCTGTTTGTTCCACTGTGGCGTCCTTTATTAGCGCGAAAATCGTCGCGTGCGACTTTTCCTTTTGCTTCTCCCTTTTATTCCCCCTTTATTTGCCGCCATTGCCGTTGCCATTTCCATTTGCGGGCTGTCAACGACCCTTTGTCGGCCTGTTGCTTTCTGGGCTGTGGAGTCGTGATATATGAAGCGATTAACATTAAAGGTGCCTAATTGATTCGACCAAAGTCCAGCTTATTTTTAGGGTAGGGGTCGAGCAGCCGTGGAGAGAGCTTAAGCTGAGCCCAAGGGGCAGTCAAAATAAATTTTCATTAAGAAATTATCGCTCGTGTGTTGCTTAAATTTAAATTAATTATATATGGTTTATCATCAAGTAAATGGCGGCATGCAAGGACACACATAGCCAACGCCCACGCACACACACACGCACACGCATGCAGCTGCAACAGCAACAGATTATTTATGCCTTCAGTGAACGCATATACCACACCGGCGAGGACAACGAGAAATGGAGCTGTAGGCGGCGCTGCTTGCCGCAGAGCTCGTACAATATTAAATTGCATGAAGTAAATAAGAGTACACACACACACACACACGCCAGCACACACGCACACAGTCTGGGGAGTCCTTGTGCCTATACCGACGTCAGCTTAAAATTTTGTTCAGGGCTACAAAAGCAGCTGTTAATGGAATCACTTTGAAAGCAGAATGAGCTATAAGCTGCGAGCACTGGGAATCTGAACCGTTGTTATATACTCTATTACGAACTAATGTGAGTATATTGGCTAGTGTTAGGTACGAGCAGCATCATGAAGGAGACGTAGCTGGGCTACTAAAAATAATAAAATGCTTGAGAGACTTGAGTTGCTGTTGAGCTCGACATGCCTGAGTGAAGCAATCTGCAATGCAGCTAAAACTATTTCTATATATTAGGTAAGTTTAGATATTTTTATTTAAGTGAGAAAGCAAATTGCTCTAAGTATATAAGCTATGCACAAGCTTCAGTTGGTTCGATCAGTTTCTTAATATTTAAATCAGATTTAGGTCAGATTTTAATATGAAAAGAATGCATTGAAGCAGAACTGAAATCGAAGAGCCTACGGGCCTAACAAACACTAATTGATTAGAAAGCTTTGCCAATTCACAAACTGAAGCTTGGCTTTGGCAATTCAGTTGCAGAGCAGCAGCGGCTAGCACGAACAGCGCACATTTAACTGATGAGCTTTGCCTTTTAGGGTATATGTCATGTTTGCTTACATGCTCTGCTCTTTGGAACTAGTTCGCAGGCTTCGCTCTGGTTCATGTGCGCCTTCAATGGCAACCGCCTTGCTATTGAGTGCGGATTAATCGGGCTCACTTTGTCATAAATAATGCAAGCCAAACGCTGCGCCGGCATTCGGAGCCACAGTGTAAGAGTAGAGTGTGTGCTGGTGGTGCTTGGTGGCTCAATATGCAGTTAGCTGCGCTCAAACGTGGTGCAATTACTGCAAAACTACGGCAGGTCCTGACAGCGCCTGCCAGCTACTGCCAGCTACTGCCAGCTCGTGTCTGCAATGTCTGGCGTGTTCGTACTTAATGACTTTTTCCCGTTATGTGCGTGCGCTGACATTTTCTTGAGGCTTTTTTGGTTGTTGCCTGTTTTCACCTGCTCACCTGTTGCCCGCTGCATTTAATTGCAAAACAAGTTTGCCTGAATTTGCGGCTGCTGCTGATGACAATTTAAGTGCTTAAGCAGGGCGCGTGGCGAAGTCATGTCGGCCGCAAGCCAACATTAAGGTCCACTTTGACTGCTCGGCTGCGGCTTAGCTGCTTCAGCAGTAAGTGCTCTGAAGCTCATATTTCAGTGGCAAAAAAAAGAAGAAAATAACTTCAAAGATATCTTCAAAGAAAGAAAGAGCATAAAATAAATCGCAGCCAAATCGAAGGGCAGCAACAAAGCCCAAACAAACACGTGCTTATCTCTCTCTCTCTCTCTATAGAAATACATATATTTATATATATATATATATATATATATATATAAAAGTGTGTGCTTATCATAAAATGTTTAATAAAACACATCTGCCTGCCCTTACAGGAATATTATTATATATGAGCCACAGCGGGATTTGGGCAGCAACCTGAAACTTCAAATGGGCAAGCAGTGAAAATGATTTAAAATATATTTTTCCTTTTGACAGCCACATGCCAAAATGTTGCTTTAAATGCGGCTATTAATAATAATAAGAAGAAGCTGAAAACAACAAGACCAAAGCGAAATTCAATAAGCGTGATTTGAACAGCCAACGGTCAACACTGTCTATCGCCCTGCCACTTCTCTCCCTCTCCCTCTCTCTCTCTCTCTCTCGCACTTCTCTCGCTTCTGGTGGCTGCGCCTTGAACTGGGCAAAATATTTAAGGCGGTTGGCCTAAGGATGCCAATAAATCAAAGCGGAAAAAAGGTTGCCGAACAATGTGCGGCATGTGTAGAATTTGCTTTTGGACCACACACACAGACACACACACACACCCACACACATGCAAACGCTCAAAGAGTTATGCGCTCCTGGGGCACATTTTGCGAGTGTGAAAAATATTGAGTTTGGGTTTCGGTTTCAATTTGTCTTTAAGTGTCATATGAAATGAAAACAATTAAACAAATTGAGTGGAGTGCTCAAAACTCTAAGCAAATAATAAACTTATTGCAAAGTATTTTTGATATTTCAATTTTCCATTTAGGCTTTAGTATGGAAGTTCTTAAGCTGAAAGCATACACTTCAGCTAGAGATAACTCTTATATTATTTATTTAATTTAATTTAATTATTGTTTATTTTTTAAATTATATTTTTGTTACATATTAAATGCGCTATTTCAATACATTCCATTCATTTTCTATATATTCTTGCTTAAAACATAAAACAATTTAAAAGGTCAAAGGCAAAAGCCATCGCAGCTAGCACAGCTTTTCCTTAATGAAATGCAATTAAAATAAAAACTTTCTAATAAAGTATTCAGCTTGCATTTTATTTTGAAAAATTATGAACTTTGCAACAAATAAATTTCTGCAAAAATATTTTTCTAAATATTTAAAACATGCTGCAACTGGCCCCAGCAAACAATTTCAATCTGCCAACTTTTTGCAACTTCTAATGTAATTTAATTTGATTTTTACTTCAATAAAATGCAGTTGTTTCTTGCAGCTAAAGCAATGCAGCAATCTAACAATCTAACAGTCTATCAAGCAAACAAAAACTCAGTTTCGGTGTAATTTAGTTACACATTTCATGTTTCACTTAGGAAACACTTCAGCTGCTTAATTGTTTACAAATATTTCAATTAAAGCCAAAAAACTAAAACTCAAACCGGATTTTTGTCGTTTTTGCGGCTTCGTCGCTCGAGTCGGTTAATTGCATTTTTTGCACATTTCTTTGTGTCGCGGCCATGGTCACGTGCATAAACCAAGCCAACGAAAAAAGGCAAAAACTCACAATTCAATAAAATTAATGGAAAAACACACACACACACACATACACACTCACAAGCTTGGGGGCAAAGGAAGTGTCAGAAATCTATGAGTCGGAATTTGACCAATGCAATCGTGAGTCGAGGAGCTGTCGCTGCCTGTTCAAGATGCAGGCCGACTGTGGAGGGGCGTTGTGGACGTCAAAGCAAAGGCTGGGCGACTGTCTGTAGGGTGCGAGCAGTTTGGTGGGCGTGGCGAGTGCTAAGAGCGCAAAGCTTGTAAGCGGCTTAAAGTTGTACAAAGTTTTTCAAGCGCATTCGCCAGTCACCAAAGGCGACGCAGGAAAAAGTTATGAGTGGCTGTGGATCACACACACACACACACACATGCACACTTATACTCTCATATATACAAAGAAATATGTAAGCTTGTCGCGGCTCCATTGCAAAGCCCAAGCAAAATAAAGTGAAGATGAACACTAAAAGAAATTATGAAAAATTTAATTTAAAGAAACATTTTTTTTCTTCAGATTTTTGTAAAATAAGAATTATAATTTTGCAACAATATTGCAAAAAAATATAGATGATTTAGATGTTTAAAGGTAGCTTTTTAATTAATAAGCTAAAATTAATTAAAGATTGATTGAATGATTTTTGAGTACTTTATATATAATTCTTGTGTTAAATAATTTCTTGATGCAATTTAAAATTTTATTATAATTTTCTTCTCAAGTTAAAAACATCACAACTTTAGTATTTGCTGAAAATCTAAGTATTTACATAGTTTCTCGCAGTGTACTGAGTGCTGGCGGCAACTGGCTTTGGCGGCGGCCGCCTCGTCGTCGTCGTCGTCGTCATCGCTGTCGAGTGCAGAAAAAAACCCAGCTGGAGCATGTAAAAGGATTAAGTTCGCTTAATATCATTGATGAGCGTGCCAAAGACCATAGCCAAGCAGCAGCAGCAGTAACAGCCGCAGCAGCAGCTTCTTCTTGTGCTGCCCTCTCTCTTTGTCTACTTCAGGTCAAGTGTCTGTAATGCTTGCTTTCTATGGGACTTTGTTTCTGAGAGCACAGATTTCAGCTAAGCGGCTGAGTCAATAGTTGAGGCGCTAAAGCAGCTGCTGCATTCCCAGCTATCGACGAGCAGTTGCGCCACTGCAGCAGTGGGTGAATGTTTTTTTTTCTCTTTCATTAAAGTTACACTGGACGAGCCACCTACTCAACCACGTGGCCCGAAGGTCAATCGTGGCCTAATTAAAAATGCAACAGCCGCCGTTTAAAAACAAATGCCAAAAAAAAGGAAATGAAAAAAAAAGTTATTGTACGAGCAGCTCTCTCAGCCAACCTTATGCAAATAACTTCAAGTGCGTAGCGTAGCGAAAATTGAAATTAAAATGAAAAGAAAAATGAAAAGCTTGGAACAATACACAAATGTAATGAATATTTACGAATTCGTAAGAACAACGTCAAAGTGCAAAACACGTGCAAAATCTCACAAATATTCTCACACACACCCTCAACAGAATGTGGATAGCAGGAGATAGAGAATGTAAGTGTGTGTGTGTGTGTGTGTGTGTGGGGTAGAGTAAAGATTGCCTTTTGTATTTACGCTCGAAAAATTACAGAAAATTTTCATTTAATTATGAAAATACGTAGCCAGAGCCGAAACTCCGTGTGTTCAGCTGCCAAAGTTGATTATTTGACAGCCATTCCACGTGCTAATTAAAAGCAAAGGCAAAAGTTGTCAGACTGCTCAACAAACTGGCCAAAAGTTCCACTTCCCACCAATCACCGATGCCCAGCCTTTGCCATAATCGCAATTGTATCTTTGCACTCGGGACTTACCCTTTCTCTTCACACACTCCCAGCAGGCAAGCGAGAGTGACGCCTGGGTGTCGTTAGAGCTGCAATGAAGAAAACATTTGAAGTACTTCAATTAGTTTGTTGCAATGCTGCAAGGATGTTAAGGCTGCACGAATGCTCTATAGCTTATAGACATAAATAAAGCTAAATAAAGAAGAATAGAAGAATAATAGGATTTAAGCTGTTTGATTGATTGATTATATAAAGGTTTTGGAGCTCATTAAAATGAATTTGTAATCAAGAGATGGAACGATGTTTCGATTGATTGATTGACTGATTAATAATTGATGCCCAATTTATAGCACAGAAATAGTTATAATACACACATCCAACAAGTGGAAAACATTTTTTGTGCTGATTGATTGATTGATTGATTGACAGCTCAAATAACTGGATTGCTCAAAATATCAAAATATTTAATAAATATTTATCAAGATATTGGCTAAGTAAAGAATTATAATTCTGATGATTGATTGGTTGATTGATTGACTGATTGATAAACTGAAATGGGTATAAGATATTAAAAAAATTATATTGTATTATTATAATAGGATAAAACTATTAAAACTCTTATTCAAATATTTTTATAGAGTCATTTTTTGGCCATTGACTGATTGATTGACTGATAAAATGAAAAATGAATTTTTCTAAAATATAACAATATTTAATAAATATTAATCAAGCTGTTGGCTTCATAAAGAATTATAGTTCTGATGATTGATGGACTGATTGATGATTGAACTAAATGATTGACTAAATTAATGATGTTTTACGGTTTTCCTATTAAAGTTCTGCCTTAAATGCTCACATATAAAAACTTTTGGCCATTGATTGATTGACTGGCTGATTGACTAGTTGATTTTCTTATTTTTTAAAGAAAGTTTTCTTTTTTTATTAAAGTAGGTACCCTAAAAATCCTTAAAATACTCATTAAATGTCAATAGCTGATCTTTTAAATGAGAGCATTCAAATTACAATTTATTTTATGCCGTTTGACTGCTCTCAAAGTGGAGCATGTAGTCATTCGATAGTCATTTCAGCATGAAGTCTAGTCGAAGTCTTGTCATCGTCAAGTCCCAATGGATGAGGCGGGCAGCTCCTTAGCTTGATTTCTCATTGACAGAGCTGGCGAACTGGCGCACAGTATAAGCTGCTCATATTTACAAAATGTCTAATGAAAATATTTCCTACGAAGCGGATATCCAGCTGCTGACTACGTCTGAAGAGGGAAAAATCAAATTAGCTGCATGAATGACGCTGGCAAATGCGCTTCCCGGATTAACAGGGCGACGGACGCAAAAAGATAAGAGTGGGCGAATAAATAGGGTTGGGCGTGGCGAGTGCTCTAACATTTGCCCCCAACGGTAGTTTGTATTTCTATTTGGATGTACAGAGTAGCAGCAGAAGGAAAGGCTGCTTTATGTGATTGATGCAGCTTCGTGTTTTTGTGGGCTAATTGCTGTCCGGCAAAGAAGGGACGGCATTTGCAGTAGAGTTGTTCAGCTGCAGGAGAGTTCCCAAGAGCTTAACTGTAATGTACTTATTGCATTACTCGCTAATGCTATTCGGTTTGTAGTCAGTCTGCTCATAATTATTCGATAGCTGGCCAAATTTGTCTACTCCTAATGCTCTGCTGTTTGAGAGCTCAGCTGTTAGTCTTGATGGCCCTAGCGTGTGTGCACACAAATCATAGAAAATGTAAAAATCTCAACTTTTAACTCTGGTTCTTCAAGCTTCTCACAACAAAAACAAAAATCAGATAACGCATTTAAAATAAGTAGAAAGCACAAAAGCGCACGACTGAGTAGAAGAGGAAAACAACAACAACAACAACAACATGAATGGTTGCAAAACATTGCAAAAGGCGACATACAAAAAATAAGGGAACTAAAAAACAAACCAGAACTAAGGCTGAGGGGTTGGTAGAGACGATTTGAAGGCTGCGAGCAGAAACTGTATCAAGTAACTGAGCCGCGCCGAGCTGCATAGTGAAAATGCAACTGTGCGGAAAACTGTGCGAACATTTTCATTTTCAATGCAGCTCTTGGCACACAAACAGAGCGAGAGAGGGGGTGGGTGGAGCGTGAGACGAGTTCGAGAGGAAGGGTAACAGAAACAGACCCAGAAACAGAATCAGAATCGGAATCAGAATCAGGACACTAACAACAACTAGCAAATAGACAACTTTAAGTACAAACCCCGTGTACACACACACACACACATATGAATCCGACAAAAACTTGCAGCGAATCGCAGAAAATCGCTTAGAATGCAGCGCTCCGCAAAGAAAAAAATGTAAAAAAATGAGAGAAAAAATTGGAAGAGCCCCGAACAAAAGCATATGGGAGTCAAGTAGAGGCTCCGCCTCCAGTGCCGACTGCCGACTGTCGACTGTCGAGTGCCGGGCTTTTCTTTCAATTTGCAACATTTTCTGCTGCACGTTGCACGTACCCCAAAAATAACTTCCGACGTCGCTCCCTGATTTTTTCCGCCTTAGTCAACTCGCTGCGAAATTGCAGGAAGCGATTCTATTTAAAGTTGCCAAAGTCCCACAAAAAATAAAAAACGAAATAGAAAATAAAAAATAAAATTAAAAACTAAAATAAAGCTGCGACCACGGGAACTCGGTTAAGGTTAAGCGACAAAGCGCTGCAACTATTGCTGTATAAAAAATATCTCTCTCTCTCTCAGTCTCTCACTCCCTCTCTTTCTCTTTGCCCACTTTGTATCTATTTAGACTTGTATAATTTATAAAAAATTCAATTAGCCACGCTGTCCAAAACAGAAGCCCCAACATAGCCAATAGTTTGGCTTAATGCCGCCGCAGCTACCGTCGTTCCCCCATTAACAAAATAAACTTTCTCAGCTGCCAATCATGCGGGGGGCCGAACGGTCAGTTGTTGAGCCACTCGCACACGGTCTGCCAGCCAGTTAACGGAAACCTTTAATAAACCCATATAAAACATGGCAAAAATTACAACAATGCTAGCCGAATAGAAGCACAGTGGGTAGCAGTGGGAGTATTTGTAAAATCTTATGGAGATGTATATTAGAAATGTAATGCATTAATTTATTTTTGAACTAGGAATTAATGTAATTATGACAAATAAAGTCTCATCTTCAACATATTTTCATTATTCAAAATTTTTGAAAATCATTAAAAATTTAAAAAATTTAGAAAATATTAATAAAAATGGGAGAATACTGAGGCTCACGTATCACTCTTTACCAGATCATAAAGAATTTTAATGATGATCCTTCTGAGAATGATATAACCTTGCTCATTCGAGCAAATGACTTCTTCCAAATGCCATTCAAGAATTTCCATTCTCAACTCAATATGTAAAATATTGAAGTGATTGAAGTGTTTACATTCTTAAGTATTATTTCTATTAATTGTTTCTAAACAAAAACTTTTACTTGAAGCAAAATTCTGAAATCTCAATATTTTTTCGATTAAAATAAATCGTTTCTGAAGTCGAATTTTCTTATCTTGTAACTTTATGCATACAAAAAGAAATACACAGCATTTCTTTAATATAGGGCAGCTGTAGTTTATTATTTGTTATTTAATTGTTCACTATATTGTACCACTGTGCACATGAGCCATTAGCAAAAACTTTGTTACACAAAAAAAAAAAAGAAAATATAATCAGAAACTGCGCTTCAATGTTAAATGAATTGTTGTCTCAACTGCTCGACAAGCAGGGGGCAGATGCCTATCTATCTATATGCCATATATCTATATACATGTATATATATGTATGTAAGTGTATGTGTGTGTGACTCTACAGATGCTGGCTACAGTGCTGGCCAAAAAGTTAGTGAAATTCATTTTTTGAAAACTGCAAAATAAGGTGGAGTAAAAAAATAGAGCAAAAAATTGTGGCGGTTAAAAAAAAAGTTTAAATAACTTTGGCAACTAAATTTAAGTAGAAAGCGTGAAGGGAGTTGTGGGGAGGGCAGTGTAGAATCAAAGGCGGCAATGGAGGCGGATAGCTGGTAGCAGGCGTAGCACCAGGCGGCAAACAGTCGTGACAAAGTTGGGAGCTAGTTCTCCCAGCTGTTGTTGTTGTTGTTGCTGCTGCTGTTACTCACTGATAAAAACTGCAGCAGACGCAAAACTAATTTGCGTGGTTATGTAAATTAGAGTTGGAGTTGGTGTCTGCGATAAACTTGTTGAGGGTGAAGCGCTTCAAAAAATAAAAATAAAAATAAAAAGGAAATGAGAAAAAAAGTGAAAGAAATTCGCAGCACAATGCGTAGAGCAAGACCGCACAGACAGAAGAAGCACTTTGTACAGTTCACCTAGGTGACCCGAAGAGAGACAAACACAGTTAGTTCTATGCACCTGTATGTGAGTGTATGTGTGCTGTTTGTTGTGTGTGTGTGTGTTTTTGTTGGCTAATCCTAAGACCACAACCAGATAACCAAATCGTTGCACAGACAAAGATGCCGCCCGCCCTAACAACTAAATAATGTGCACAGAATTTAGTGTTCAAAATGAAGGCTGTGCAAATGCACTGGAAGAAAAGCATGGAGAACATATGGAGGGGAGCATATAGGACATATATAAAGAGTTTCTGAAATTTTTGAAAAAATACTGAAGAATTTGGAATGCCTTGAATATCTTCAGTATATATTGAATTAAAAAGATCAAGTGAACTTAATCAGTGATCAGTGATCAGAGCAGTAACAGTACTGTAACTAATATTCCTAGCTCACTAAATCGATCAAACATGATCGAGACGTTCGGTTTGATCATTCATGACTGATGCTTATCAACTATTCATGAGCCATTGGCGCTTTTAAGTTCTTTAGTTGCTATAAGCCACGGCTTAATACACTTATGTATTATGTACGTATAAATCATTCATGAACTGCTGAAAGAGTCAATAAAATCCTCAATATAGTATATATATATATATATATATATATATGAAAGCTTATGAAATCTCTCCAAGTCAAAGTAAACTGTATTACCTAGTCTTTTCTCTGAGTGTACCTAGCAGCTAGCAGACAACAGGCAGCAAGTGCACATGGCAATGGCAGCCAGCTAAGATAATTTTTCGTTGAGCACACACACACATACAGCACACAGCACACAGCACACAGTTATTTAAAAGAGCCAAGGCATAAAGGTGGGCGAGGCAGAGCTTAGGCATAATTTGCCCAGTAGCTGGCAAAGGCATAAGCCCAATTCTAACAGACAGAGAGAGGGGGAGAGTGAGCTGGAGAGAGCTAGAGGGGGGTCACTGTAAATGCATCTAACAGACATGCATTGAGGTCTGTCGGCTGCATTGTCGGCTGTCTTGGCAACCACAGCATAGCAGCAGCAGCAGCAGCGGCAGCCAGAAACAGTAGGTGGAGGAGACGCGTCTGAACTCGGCACCTAAAGTCATATTAATAATTTTGGTTGGGATTTTGAAGCTGGCTGTCGTTGGGCCACAACCGCAACAACTTGCAGTTGAGTTGCAGCTGGCGCAACAACCAAACATTTACTCCAGATTCAAGATCCACATGCATCCAAAATCTACGAGTAATCCTTGGTTACACTTGCCTCCTTGCCAACACTGTCTCTCGCTGTCTCTTTTGCCCACTGTCTATGTCTGCCATTTACAGCTCTGTTTACATTTGCAATGCAAACCAAAAACTGATGCAAATCCATAAATTCCAAGGGCTATTCCCTCTCCATCTACTATGTAGATGCACCTTGTTTTTGTCTGTTGCTCATTGAGTGAACTTTGATTTTACATGATTATCAACCTTACTCGGGGGCACGTTCTGATGAGATTTTTGGCAAAATTGAAAAAAATAATGGAGCTAAAGTGAAATAATGTGAAAGATTGTCATGCTACATATGTCGGCATATGACCAAATAATTTCTTTAATTTTAACTCTATATTTGTGGCAATTCGGCATAAGCAACAAATCAGTTGAGTTTCATTTTTGGCTATATCAACAGAGTTCTTGTAGCCAGGTGGGCTGAAAGCCAGTTCCTCAGTCTTATAAGTTGAGATGTTCTAGTGCTTAGCATATGAAGAAATAATTTGTCAATTTAAAAACAAAAATATAAGCTAAAATTCTAATTCAACTCAAAAAAAAAAAAAAAATACAGACATGGCTAGATCGACTCAACTCGTCGTGTTGATCAAAAATTGATATGCCTCCTTTCGCTTGTTACATTAATTTTCACAGGAACATTATTCCCGTTATTCCCATTTTAAATCAGTTCAGGGGTTATTTATTATTATTTAATATTCCCAATCGATTTCATTTGAGCATATTTCAGAGTTTTCATCTTTCACTCACACAAACTTACGCTGCTATTATTTTCAATTAAATGCCACATTTTTGCCATATTTTGTTGTTTAATTTGTTTTGTCTCTCGCAGACAGAAATGACAATGAAATTCATAATTAGCTGAGCTTCACGAGTTCATGGGAAAATCAAAAATCAAACCAAAAGCGGAAAATCATTTGTCTCTTTGCTCTTTATGAGGCGTGTCCAAAAAGTTTCCCACAAAATGTTGTGCATCAAATATTGAGATAGATACGAGTCGGCTCGGCCTGGTATCATGCACAGCTACTAATTAGTCGGGGGCGATATGTGATATTTTTAGTATTGACTTGTTTACAGAACCACAGCAGCAATAGGAGTAGTAGCAGCAGCAGCAGCAGCAACAACCACCGCATCAACAGGGATTTATTTTTAGTTGTCTGCAGTTCGGTTTGAATGTAATTCCATTTCGACTGCTGCCTGTTAATGACATGCAAATCAACTTTGGTGGTCGCTGGGACGCGGCCCACGGCATTCGAAGCCAAGCTTCACTCAATTCCGGCCGTGCTGTCCGGTGTTTATATTTTTTTGACAGCTGATTGTTTTATTGAAATGCAGCACGAGGCACGTGTCGCAGGCGACAGGGCAGATGTTTCAAGTAAATATTTACTATTTACTTTTGACGGCGCTGTGAGAAATCATTAAGTCAGAGCACAGAATATGATTGCTGGGAAAATGCGCTCGAAGCGCTCGATGAACCGCATGATTTTTTGTATTTTCAATAAAAAATGTAATTACAATTTTTATTTTATTTAATAAAATGCCACCAAACATAGGGCCTGGCAGCTAACAGACAATACAAAGCGAGCTGAAAAAAGCGGAAAAAGGGAAAACTAAATTGAAATTTGAATATTGAGCTGGCTATGGAAGCGCTCAGCTCTCCGAAATTGAAAAAGTTCTTTCACTGCAAATGAAATCAAATAAATCTAGACAAACGAAATCTCTACTAAGTTTCACACACAACAATCCCAAAAATGTTGCAAAAAAAATTGAAATGAATAAAAAATATACATATAATAAAAACCATGGCTAACAATCAAATGAAAACTAATAGCAAAAATGCAAAAAGGTATTTAAAATGTTTGCGAATGCGGTTGCAGTGGTCGAAATGTGGGCACAAAGTAAATGAAAATATTTTCACGCATTACACAGACTCCAACTACTTTGTTTTTTTCCAACTATCAAATACATTATAGAAATAAGTTGAAAATGAACAGAAAAAAAATGGTTTTCTGGTCAGACATCAAATGAAAAAGGTATGTTTGAACAATTTGTTTATGGTTGAACATGAAAGAGGAAATTTAATCTTTTATAATAGATGTCAATACCAGAGCTGGTGTTATTTTTTTTCAAAAAGTTATATACTTATATTTCTGTCAGTATACAAATTTATATTCTGCATATGCTCTCTATATGGAAGTATATGACGTAATTTTTACTTAAATCAGAAATTTCCTTTTAAATATTGATTAAAAATAAATAGAAATATTCTAGAGAATTTTCTTTGTTTGTTTATAAATAAATTATATTTATTTATAAATTTTTTTATTTTTTAAATATAAAAATCATTAATGTCTTTTTAAATATTAATTAAGAATACTACGAAGTGCCTGAGATAGACTTTTTTTGATTATTTATTTATTTATATTTATTTTTTCTTATTTATTTGTTTACAATTTATTTTATTTTTCCTTATTTTTTTTTTCTTTTATGCTTCATAAAAATAATATGTACTCACTTTAAAATATGTTTTTCATATTCAGAAATTAAATAGACCCACACAATCAAGACAATATACACTGAGAAAAATAGCAGCACTCATATCAAAAATGTCCAGCTAAATTTAAATTTTCCTATCATCACAATTTCCTTCATTTCCTATTTTATAATTCTCAATAACCCCTGAAGAGTTCCCCAAAATTCGTAGAGCTCACAGTCTGAGAGTCCTCTTTTCCACTTTCACTCAACAGAATTTACTTTCATTTGAAGTATGTAAAATATTTAAAAAGTATTTTGCTTTCCTAATTCAAGTGCGTACTTTTTTGTGTACTTTTAACATTCAGACTACGTTTTGCACTCATGAATGAATCATGTTGAAGCATATTCAAGAAATTTGCTTTTATTTCATAGAACGACCTAAAAATTTGTCTGCAATCTCGGAGGCTCTCAGTTTCTCTGTAGTTTAAAGCTCGGCATTTCGTTGGCACTTGAAGCTTTATTCCTGTTATTTAACGAGCGCTACGGGGCGCTTATCTATTTGTTAGATGGCCGCCAAGTTAATGAGAAAAATGCATATACGCACGCATTAAACGACGTCTAGTTCCGACACATAAACCTGTCCAACTTCCACCCACCACCACGCACCACCCAACAAATTTTACGAGCTGCTTTCTATTTGCCAGACAGACGCATAAAGCAGGCGATCTCTGAGGCGTTCAAATCGTAAAAAACAGGCAAACGAATCACAGTCAGACACGCTGATATATATACACATATAAGCGAGGGTGGCTTGAAGAGCTTATAAATTTACATGAATGTTGAATTTGAAAAAATGATTGATATAAAAATTAATTAAACGTAAGGAAAGGTTTTAAAATATTTTTTAATTTTAATAAAATATTTTGTCTTTTTATTTTTATTTTTTTCTACATTTTTCTATCATTCTCTTGCTAATTATAAATAGTTTTGTAATTTTATTTCTACCTTTATTTTATGCTATTGTTCAAACTTCCCTCGTATTTATTGTCCATCAAATTCGATACAAATTACAAACATTTAATTTTAACTTAAATTATAGGTTCACAAACCAAAAATGAGCCAGAAACAGCCTTTTGAGCTAGCAATTTATGACACTTGGCGCCATTCAATGAAATTATTTGCATATATATTTTTTGTATTTATTGGCCAACAAGGCGCTGGCAATTTAAATACATATATGTATATATATATATAAATATGTATATATATGTTTGTATGTTTCAGCAACCGCTGTGGCCGCAGAATCCGTTGAATCATTTTGGTTGCTGCATGTGATTTGGTATAGTCGAGCTTGTCCAGCTGCCAGCTCTAATTTCTGCGAGTTTTTTCCTTTTTGCATTTAAGCGAGTGGGCGTGGCGCCTGCGGCTTTGGCTACACGCTACAAATAAATTTCGTCGAGGCAGCCCAAAACGATTTAATTTGCGGTTTTTATCACAAAAGCGCGACGCACACCGAAAATTGATAAAAAATTATTTGCGGATTTGCTGATGCAGTTGCAGCAGTTGAATAGATTTAAATTTTTTTTTTTTAGGTTCATTTTACTTTTTTTGTAATATAAAAACTATTTGACAATGTCCTTGAGCGGATGCAAACAGCGCATGGCTTTCGTAGCAGCCGTCACAGATATTAGATAGGCCATATTATGCAGCGCATACTGCGCCTCATAGTCGCTCTCCTGGTTCGCTGTCATGTTGTAGAAGTATATATATTCAACACGTCGCCACAGACAGACGACGATGCGTGCCATTGTTAGCAGTTCGTGCAGCTCGTGCTGCGAACGGTAGACAGTTAGCTTTAAGCTAGAAGTCATCAGCTGCACGAATTCCAGATGCGCTGTCTGCAGTTGCGATTGTTTCTCGCTGCGTCGCAGCGTTTCATCAAGTTGAGCCGCCGCCTTTTTCAGTGGCTGCATTCTGAATTGCTTTTCCAGGGCTTTCAGCACTGTTGCCTGTAGCTGGGACAGAGACTCGGCCACCGCATGATCGCCATTCAGCTGTGGCAGCTGCTGCAGTCGATGCACCGTCACATGCAACTGCAATCGCATGCGAAATGCCTCATTGTAGCTTTTGAGCTGCTGTTCTGTAATTATGCTAGCAAACATGCCTTCGCCGCTATAGACCAGCGAAAGCTGCTCAATATTTTCAGTGGGCAGCGACACAGTAAATGCACCACTGCCATGCAATGCCGTAGAACTATACTCATTCATAATGGCCTGCAGCTGCAGAGCAGACTTGTCAATCAATCCACTTTCCAGGTAGCCAAATGCCTCTGAATATTGCTCAGCAAACTGCTCAAAGTTGAACAGCAAGTAGACAGCGCGTAACTCCTCCAGCACCTTGCCCAATTGCAGTCGATCCCTGATTAAAAAGGCCACATATCGATTCAAGAGCAGAACACGCTGATCCAGATAGCGCTCGAGTGTCCGACAGATGAGCTCCACGAGTGGCGTGTAGGCCACACAGCTTTGGCAGCGCTGCAGCAGCTCGTCAATGTTGCAGAATTCCGGTTGATTCAACTCTAAGGTCGTCTCCTTGTAGTACACGTAGTAAAGGCAACGCAGCTGATCATCTTCGGTCGATTTTAGCTGAAAGAATATGTCAGGGCCGGACTCGGCTGTCTTATGCGACGGCATCTCGTAGAATTTGAGCTGTTGATGCATGGATCGCACAACTGTCTGATGCAGATTTATTTCCAGCATCGACTTATGCTCGATCACAAACTCCGCCAAACGCTTCGAATCGTACAGAGCTGCGAGTGCTGGTCCAGCCGACTCGATGTGCCGCTTTATAATCTTGTATATCTTACAGATTTTCATATAGGGCTGTCCATTGGCAAAGGAACGCATCACATATTCAGTTCGTCCATTCTTCTCCGATTTGTAGGCAACGAATTCCTCGTGACAGTCGTTGAACTCGCCCAGCCGCCACCAATTGTCGAGGAAGCGGCAATGCACCTGCAGCACATGCAACAGCAAAGCAGCCGAATAGGCCCGCCTGCCCTGGTCCTTGATGGTTAATGCTTGTGCCGTCAGCTCGACCAAGCTGCACAAGACGTGTTGACTACGTGAATGCGGCTCATTGCCAAACTCAGCCGGATAGGAGATGTAACTGGCCGCAGCCAAGCTCCACAAAAGCTCAAGGCTCTTAAAGCTGGCCTTTGTGGCACGTCGAAAGTCAAGCAGCCCTAACCCTTCCTTGTCATTGGACAAGCTACGCTCGAACTCCGTGAGCGTCTCCACAATTGGCTTGATCATGCGGCCGAGTGCCGCAGTCAAACTGGTCAAAGTCTCGATTGTTTCGCCATTATCATAGGGCGTCTCACAGCAATTGATATACAGCTGTATCATTTGCATATACTGCAGGGGCTTCAAAAACTTGTCAACAACCAATTGGCTTGTCTCCGCATTGCTAATGACATTGGGACGCAGCTGTATCAAATGGTTGACAACGTTGAAGTAGTGACAATCGCCCGGCAGAAAGAACATGCCCAGTATTTCGCGTGTGACAAAGCCATCCTCGCCGTACTGCTGCAAGCACTGCGTCGCGTTGCTGAACTTTCTACGCAAGTAGCTGCCGAAGGCTACAACGAATAGGCGCTTGCTGCCCAGCTCGTTGCAACGAGCCAAAGTGCAGGAGCTGATTGGCTTGATAAACTGTTTCTGCAAAGGATTTGGACAGACTTCTCCAGAACTAGATCGAGCTAACGTGGAAGTCACCTCAGAGACTCCTCGCGAGTGCACCGTATTTAAACTGGCTGTGGACTCCCTGAGAGCGTCTTCCTCTGACGTTGACACACAACTGCTTAGCAGCTTCGTATTCATCGTTTGTCTAAATGAATCCAAACTGAACTCTTTTCTGGTTTCTGAACTGGCGTTGCCCTGCGCTACTGCCAGATCATCGAGTATTTTCATCCTTCGATCCATGTACTCCTCGTAGTGAATGCGAGCCGAGCGAAAGGCCTTAAAGTTAACGGATAGCAGAAAGTCTAGCAGACCCAACTTGAAGCAATCCGATATACTGATATCGTCGATAATCACATTGGAGAGCGTTTTGATTGTGTGCGCCATAGTCGGCAGCTGCTCGCACAGATAGCGATCCAGAAAGTCGGTTAGATTTTGTGAGATACGCTCCGCGCTGCTTAGAGGCTTGGAATAGTTCTCTAGCCGACAGAGCGCAACTTCCAAGCAATACGTATAGGTATCGCTCTCCATGTTCGATTCCAGCAATAATTTAACCAATTCTGGCATTTGTCGCATCACAATCACACGACATTCCTCCTGCATCGTGATCTCTTATATAAAATATATTTGTAATTGTGGCTGTTATATGAAATATATACGAGAAATTATAGAGTAGGGAAAATTTTGAGCGTTAAGCTAAGTCTGCTTAGATTTTTTTGCTTTGGAAATTTGGAAATTTAGCACGAAATTGTGAATTCTCATCCAATGAAACTGAAAATTCGTTTAAAGCATTCAAGTGTATAGTAAATCTTAAAGAATTGCACGCTATTTTCTTCGAGTGTAGTCAACGGTTGGCAGCTTACGGACGCTTAAGGAAAATTCGAACATGTAAATTCCTGTGGCCCTGCATTGGCATGCAGAGAACCTAGCAGCGACAAGAACTTTGACACTGCTGACCTATTTCTAGACTGCATCAGCTCCAATCTGTGTGTGTGTGTGTGTAGGTGTGTGCAGGCATGCTGGTTTCCATGTCCAATAGCTATCTACAATGTGCGTACTTTGCTTTATTTTATTGTCTGACAAGATAAATACCAAAATATTGAATATGCACGGGCAGCCAAAGGGAGCGCCAAAGCAATGTGTAATGCCACCAGAGACCAGAGAGTGTCTGATAGAGTAAGCAGAGAGAGAGAGAGAGAGATGGGGAGTGAGAGGAAGGAGTATGGAGGCGCCACTAAGCGTCCAGCATCCGGACTCTGTCCTGGAAGGAGCCTGTCAACTGCGCTACAAACAATAACTCAAATGCAATCGAGCATATTTGCTGCAGAGAACAAATAAACCCAGTTACCGGCATCCACAACAACAACTCAAATATACAAATGTGGTACAGTGGAGCTAGACATAAGAAAACTGCAGTGCTTGAAAAATGCGATAAACTTTGATAAGGCGCAAAAGTGGCCAAATTTAGGTATTTGAGTGTTCACTGTACAATTGCAATAATATTTGAAAACATCGACTCAGGGCAAATTGATTTCAGTGCAGTGTGCAGTGGCATAGCTGGTGAATAGCTATAGACAACAAATTTGGTGAGGACTCTTAGCAAAATGAAAGTTCGTCGAGATTCCGTCTGTCTGGCGGTCGATCCGTCTGTCTGTCAAGTCGTGCGGGTGTGACTGGTTAGAAAGTGTTGGGAAAACAGCAAGTGAAATCTTTACCAGAAAACAAAAGCCGAAATGTAGAAAAACAAGGGAAAATTGTTTGAAGGCAAAACTTGGCAGGCAAAACTTTTTGTCGCACTCGGCGAAAAGTAAGCGAAAACTTAATAAAGATCGCAGCTGACGCCGCAGTCAACGTCGGACGCAGGGCCGTTGGAGTCAAGATGCAGTACACTCTGACTGGCCGGGCAGGGAGGGCAGCGTTTGGTCAGCGCCGGCATCTCCGCCAATAGACCACACAGACTGTCGAAATTAAACCAAACTGAATTTGCACTTACACTTTGGCCAGGCGTCGATGTCGTCGTCGTCGTCCTGCGAGCATTTGCGAGTATCTGCGAGGCTGTCGAAATTGTCACTTTCGCAATTTGCTCAGCGGGTGCGATGTGGCAATTGCGAACACAATAGCTGAGCGCTTGCGTCTTTGCCGCATGGCCAGCGCCAAGAAGCGTCTAAGTGACATTTATGCGCCTGGGCGACAGCGGCAGCAACTCCACTGCAGCTAGAGCAAAACCGCTTCAAACTGCGCCAAACTTTGCCGTATCACAGCGCACAGTGGGGCAAATTAGAAGAACAATGATTGAAAATCTCAATAGACTAAACTTTAAGATATTTGCCAATTCACCTGTAGAACTGTTAAGCCTAGTGGCTGTTAACTTAACAGTTCAAACATATCATTTCCTTATGCTGCTTGTAAATAGACAATTTGCACGGAAGACCACCGAATGTGCCCATGGTGCAAAAGAGAGACCATCAGATAGTAAAGACAGAGAAAGGGAAATACTGCGAGGGAGATAGAGCGAAGTTTGTTTTAATAAATACTTTCATTGTGTATGCAGCGAGCAGAAACCTCACCTGCCTTTCGAGTCAGCTGTGGGCAGGCGCAGATCCTGTCACTGTTGATGATGGAAAAGTTTCTTAAGAATTTGCCCGCTCATCGACATACCGAAGCGAACTTGGACGCAGAGCAGACGCTGGTAACAATGGCTGTGGCTGCCGGGAAACAATCAACAGCCGCAGCAGACGGCAAATGCAAAAATTACTCAGTTTTTATGAACTTTGGCATTTCAGAGTTGTTGCAATTACGACGAACTTCTCAAACTTCTCTTGCAGCTGGCAAATAAACACGTATATATATTTCAATTAGGACGCCACTAAAAATCCGTTGAGCGCGGCCAATAGTTTGCCCATTGCCCATTAAAGTATTTTTCAATGGGGCCTCTCTTAAAGCTGCTGTCTTTACTTTAATTAAAAACTATTCTTTTGTCTAATAGAAAATAAATGTAAACAGATTTTAGCTATTCGAAAAGTGAGTTACATTTGATAGCAAAGCATTGTGTTGCCTCGGTAAAATAATTATGAAATAGTTTTGATAAGTTGTCAGAGATTTGCTGAGTAACAAGAATGTTAAATAAAGAGTCATGTGAATCTGAGCTATGATATAAATGCAACTGCTACTCAGCCTAGGGCCTGCCTGACACCAGTTTGACGCCGGCCTAGCACCAGCTTCAACTGCTTTAAATCTAAAACTTTTTGCAGCACAACTGCTTAGAGACTCAGTTGTAAACTAAATTTAAGTTAACTTCTGACCACGCTCAAGTCATAACAAGCTTTATTTATTCATATATTTTTAAATATTTATTTTGTTATAAGCTTCAAACAGTCTTTTTACACGTTTCTTGAATAGTCCCAAATCTATTTCTCCTGTTATAACAATTCTGAATATATTTTATATATTTGATTGATTTATTGAAATACAAATTACTTTAAAAGTATTTTATGTTTACTCAGGGGTTGAAACCCTTGCAACTCGAAGCACAGAAAGCAGCTTAAAGTATAAAAATTTATTATTTTTATTTTATAAGCTGTTTTTCATTATTTAAAAAGTGTCACATTTTTTTGTAATTCTTTAAATTTTATCTGACAATGATTTATTGAGGAGAAAAATATTTTAAAAAGTAATTTCTTTTGTAAATTCAGTGAGCGGGGTCTGAGCGCCAAGATGGCCCAAATAAATAGAAAAGAAAATATCAAAGACAATTTAATGTAAAATAAATATGAAAATTTATCATGAATAACATTTTTACTGGCTGCCTATATGTGTACATATATTTAATTTGACATTGAAATTTCTTTGAGCTACTTGGCTGCCTTTGAACTTTGACACACACTCGCCCACACACGCATACACACACGTCTCGTTTACGGCTGTGCCTCATTTAGCTGAGCCGCCGCTTTGTTTGGCCATAAACTAGAACATTAGCATGAACCGGAAACGGTTTCGGGAAAATCTGTTGTCTATATATAGCCAAAACGCTGCGCTTGCAACAATGCAACACATCTGGCATGGCAAGCCGCAAACATAGCACGACGCACACACACACACACACACTTTTCCAGCTATTCTAAACTGATTCGTCATAATTTTCCTGCTTGGAGCCATAGGCAAAGTTAATTAGTTGTGATTTTTCAAAGAACATTGAAATTGAACAAGGCAAGAGCTGGAGAAGGCAGTCGAAAATACAAACAAATAAATAGAGCCCAAGGCAGGGTGAGAATGTTGAGGTCTATGAGAGAGCCAAGAGAGAGAGACAAAAAGTGAGGGGAAAGAGCTGTGATTCGGGCACATGTTGAGTGTATAAAATGTTGATGAATGTTTTGTTTACGGCAGCGTACGCTGACAAGGGGTTTGCATGCCACACGACTGCTTGCCCTCTGGCTGTCCATCAGTTTTATGCCTGTGTGGATGCAGCAACAACATGTGGCGCCTCCAGCCCACAACTGGCTGCATGGCAATTGAATGTGAATTATATTGAACATTCATAACAGATTCACAGTCATTGCCATGCTGCATGCCTCTGTGAACTTTGGTTGGGGCAGCCAGCAGATGCCATAAATTAAACAGACTGCAACTAATTAAGAAAAGAAATTCTCTCAAAAATGGAATGCAACGAATTGTTATCTCTCTCTCACGCATGCAATCCAGGTGGCATTTGCATCGCTCGCTCGACCCCTCTCAGGTGAAACGCACAAAGGCCGCATGGGGTAGACACGTGAAGTCCCTCGGGCTACATTTACTTAGTTTTTCCCCCAATCAAATTCATTCTGTCTACGCCGAATAATAATTTAAATATCTTAGCCGGCGGACTCTGCCTGGGCAAAAGCCAAACTCGAGCCACAACAACAGGAAATGCCATTTCAGCTATGGCACGCTAACAAGCTGGCAACAACAAGAACAGCAATTGGGGCATGATCGACTTGACGATGATCTGGAAATACTTGTGAATCCTTGTGAAAAGCAGAAAAGTGTGCAATGGACTGCTTTAGTGGACGACCTTCTACTCTGCAGCTATTTCAACTACTTTGCTCCATTCAATGTCTGTTTAGAGAGACTGAAAGACAATAATTTAAATACTGTGATCCGATGAAAAGATCGATGAACATATGAGTACTATAAAATTATATAAAATACCAAACTAACCTTTTCAGCGTTTGAGAATGCTAATACAGTAAATAAAATAATACAGTAGTAAAACATCAAGTCTAAAACTCGCAATCTCTGGTAAGAGTAGAAAAGCTAATTCGTATGTCAGCAAAATTTAACTTAAGTATATATTCCAGCTTAAAGCTACCCTCTTTCAATAGTTAAACAGGGTATGGGAACAACGCGCAGCAACAGCGAAATGCGTGCTATCGCAAAACTGCAGGAAAAAAGAGAGCTAAACAGCAGGAACAACTGCAACAACAACAGCAGCAGCAGCAACAAGAACAACAATGAGCAGAGCTTAACAGCCGCGAGCTAAACACGAAAACACAAAACGGGAGAAAACGGCAAGAAATTAGTTTCTCTGGCGAACGTTGTCCTAGTTGTAGTTGTCGTTGTTGTTGTTGTTGCGGGTGCAAAGCTGGCAAAGGAGAACAAATGCAAACACACACACAAAGTAAAACAGAGG